GTTCTGAAAACTACATATTTTTCTAGTAGAATTTTCAAACTCTATTCTACATTTTCATACCAGTCTTCTGAATTTCTTTTGTTGCATGGCCTCCGAAAAAAATGAATATGATATCTTGTGATTTTTCGAAGTAAGCGAAGTTCGAGTTTAGCGGAAGTGTAAATAAAGAAGAATCGTGGTGTGGAGAAATATAATAAAAAATAGCAGCGGCTAGCCGTGAGTGGCGCCTCGGAGGGACGCTGACGAACGACTAGCCGCTGCACTAGAAAGTTCCTTGAAGAAAGGGCTTAGACTCTTGAGACTCATCCAATGAACATCAATAGTATAGATCGAATGGATTTGAATAAGAAATAGTGATTGATAAGAACTGAGAAATGCTTGGAAATCAACTGTAATAACGCCTTTTCTGCACATGCAGGAGATATGTGTAGTGCGGGTGTGGGTGTGGATAGAGAGAGCTAACGCCATCATACCTACACCTACCCACACCCACCCACCCACACCCACACCCATCCACACCCATACTCACACCCACACACACCCACACCCACCCACACCCACACTCACCCACACCCACACACCCGCACCCACACCCTCTTTAGTAATCTTTGCACAATTCAATAGCAACCGCAAACGTACATAAATCCGGCAACTTTTCTCGATACGCATTATCGTCATAATTAGATTGCAAGAGGTTTATGAATTTGATCACTTTGTAAACCTGATAGAAGCTTTGTTTTGTGTTATTACTAAATAATCATGATAGTCTGTATCTTCATCTAATTTTTCATTATTTGAACGTGTTTTAGAGTGATGAATGGTAGATATTACGAAACCAAATAATCGCCTGAATGGAATGGATGGATTATGAGAAAAAGCCAAAATTATCTTTTAAAAGTAAGTAAATCCTAATAAATTTTAATATATGAAAGGAAAAACGAAACAAGCTAAAAAGAAAAGAGATTGAAAATTATAAACTATAGCAGAAAATATTACTCTATTTCAACACAAACTTCTCTATTATCGTAGAATAAAGTCTATTTTAACTAAATAAATATTCATTATAATCTTACATCATGATATGACAACGAGTATTTCTATCTTGTACATTTCTATTAAAATTATGAGAAGGGTATTTTTAACAGAATCTTTTTTATTTCATAACGATTCAAGGTATAAGAGAACTACATTGGATTCAGAAAAAAAATTCTGAATTGAATGTAACTCTTCTCTAAACATACATAAATCTTATACAGATGTCATTTGAAAGATTTTTTCCTAGTAAACTTAAGAAAAAAAAACTCGTAGAAATCGAACATGTTTGATATCTTAATTATTAATATAAAATATGTCTTATGGACAAAGTTTTATCTTATTATTTTGTTCTTTTCTTATTTTTAGATGAAAGTCAATCTGTTGAATTGAAATGAAACTATTACGAGTTGGTGATTTTTCTGTAAATAGAACATTTTTCCCTACAATAACATTTATTATATAGTTTAAATTAAATATTGTGATCATTCACATTTCCGTTACTATTATGTCCTGTATATCATGACTTTTTAATGAGATATCATTTCATGAAACGAAAAGACACACAGAATTAACGGAAGCAAAATCAAACCGTTAAGAATACATTCCAGAGAAAATATATCTGTTCTTTCAGTGTGTCCATAGCAATGGTCAAAAGTAGAGCGGGAAACAAAGTGTAACACTATGATTGGCTTATATTTATTTATTTATATATACTCATGCTTGAATATATAGGACGAGCAAAAAACATATCTATCGGTATATCGGAACAAATATTTGTATTCAACTTCTGTTTTTGACAATATAGCGACTGGTAAGAAAAACTATTTTTTCTGTAGATGAACAAGTTATTCTTTGACTACTTTTGAAAAGTATTGCTGACCGACATTCATTTTTCGAATTTTTATAAGTTCATGATAAGAAATATTTTTATTAATAAGTATCTATTTAAAACAACTATTTATATTTCTTTTTCACAAAATGCACATTACAGTTTAAAATTTTTCTTTTTTTTTTGTTTTTAAATCATCTAAAAGAATAAATTTATTGTTCACTATCTTATATTTACAATACATATCTATTTAGAACAAAAACCGAAATATTTGTTTCGAAATATGATAATGTTTTAGAAAAAAAAAAAATTTTCTCTTCAGTTCTATCGCTCTTTCAAAACCATCAGTAAAGAAACATGCAAAATTGTGAAATAGATACTATTTAACATAGATTTTCTCAACGAAGTATAATATTTTAATCAAATAGATTTTCGCTGCTATTTTGTACGAAAATTTTCTAAGAATTTTAAGTTGGAATGAATTAAAATGTTTCACATCATTGTGTGACCAATAATTAATGCAAATGTGTTATGAACACGTTTAAAATTTGTATCAATTAAAGTCTGTTATGAAGACAGAAATGGAGAATTGCTAATTGTTTTTTGCCTGATTTATGTTTAAGTCGATAGAAATGGAATGTAAAACACACTTATTTTCCTTTTTGCTTCACAATTTCTTTCATAACATGAAAGAGGAAAAATTATAAGCATATATTTACAACTGAATACATACTGCTAGGTGAGTAGAAAGAAAATTGTGATGATAGTTTTGTTTCTTTGACAGAAGAGAACACAAATTAAGAAATGTTTCAAAACAGTTTTTGTTTCTAATTATTGAATAAATCATATTATGAAATGTCTTATTTTGTACTACATAGTTCATTCTTAGAAAATTCTCCTATAGTCTAATATATAGATCTAAAGAACATGATATGCAGTTTCAATTTGAAAGTTTATTATCAAATCTAATAGATTCTGCAGAGAAATTTTAACTTGTATACTAAATGAATATTGAAAAAATGAGAACAAAACAAAGTTTATAACTGATATTTTTCGAGAACAGTGAAAAAATACGTTTCTTATGATTGACCCTATAGTCATAAAACAAAACATTAATATTATCATCCATCGATGTATATGGTCGATTAATTTGTCTTTACATACAGAATAAGGAAAAATTTCTGTATCAATTTTAGAGTTTGTTTTTGTCAACGTTTATATACATATCAAGAGACAGCTACAGCATTATCATATTAATAACAAGATTTTTTTGTGATGGCACCTATTCAGATCATCATTTTGATTTCCGTAAACTTATAAATATAGCACAATCAGGTTTTTTAGTTGTAATTTAAAAGACATTTATTTTCGTTTCGAGTTTCACCATTCTTATATTTCTATCTGAACATTTTTATCATAAATATTGTTCAATGGCGAATGAAAAGTATTTCATTGTGTAACATTTATTGACTGTTACACTTCATTTCATGCACAATATCTCCTCCGCTATATTCATATGTTCGCATCTTGACCTTGTGACTATCTCTCTTTGTTTTATTACGCGACCGCTTCCTCTTTGTTGCTGTTCACTTACACATAAGCTCAATACACACTACGCGAATTTAAAACTGAATTAAGAAATGTGATTGGTGTGTCGCTACGTGGAAACACCAATCACATTTCTTAATTCACTTTTAATTCGCGTAGTATGTATGTTTACTACTGCCCATTCCAAAAAAGAAGGCGGGTGGATATTTTTTGAATAACTTTTGATAGGAACAAGATAGAGAGCTGCGATTTTCACCCTTTGAAAGAAGCGCTGATTCAGCGCATCGATTCATATAAAATTGTTAAGGTTTATCTCAAAAATTGGTAGTGATCCATTGTCATCTTGAAAGAGTAGAATATTGCTCTTTGAAGGTAGAAGAAATCTTAAACTTTGAGAAGCGTGCTAGAATCGCCAGTTCAAGAGCTAGAAAACTCGTGTCTTCTTGATTGCGGACGAAAATCAAACCAATTTGCATGCCGACAGTGTGGGTGAGGGCTGAAATTTTGTCCGCAATTAAGAAGTAGCCAGAAAACTATATATAACGCTTGATTCAAAGCTTTACTGGTTTGGGAGTTCTAGGTACTATATTCGACAATTCTAGTCCACTTTGCCAGCAATTTCTGTAAAAAAAACTCAGTTTTTTTTATTCCTTTTCGTTTTTCCTGGAAAAAAATCAGACCTGTTTTGAAGGCATTTCTTTGTTCAACCATTGCAAAAGGTTTCAAAAATCCAAGTTAAAAGTTATTGTCTTATATGGTTCGATGCGTTTTCATCTGCTTTTTCCAACGGTGAAAATCGCAGCTCTCTATCTTGTTTTTATCAAAAAGTTATTCAAAAAATACCCACCTGCCTTCTTTTTTGGAATGGGCAGTAGTTGTACGTTAAAATGAAAAGTAATATTTTGACAGCTATTCATTAAAAAATGCATATGTGAAAGCATATGAATTTTTATCAACATGGATCAAATTAATTTTTCAAATATATAACGAAGAAAGTCTGCTGAAGTATTGTTATATGAACTTTTTGATATATTTTTTGAAAATAATGTCTTGAGAAACGTCATCATCCTTTCATAAAATTATTCGAAAAATATAGAATTCACTTTTCATGTCAAAGCCATAACTGTTGGTGGTTTTTATTGTTATTATCATCGTTTAATAATCCAAGAGTATTTATTAAATAATATCTTTGAAAAATGCACATTCAATCTTTCATTAGTAAATATGTATGAAAGATCGATAATAGTTCGTTTTCTTAATAGCATTGATTCTGGAGATGTAAAACTTACAATTTTTTTCTCTCTTTCTTGAACGTTGTTTTATTATTCATCTGTATTAATGTATGAAATTATACATGAGAATATAAAATAACCTTGTGTTAAAGAAATAAATACAGTGAACCTCGAACGAAAATATTTGATTAAATTATTAAAAAAATTTGCATATTTTTAATAGATTGGTTCATATTCAGAGTTTTTTTTAATCTTTGAAGAGAATTAAATATTAGAAACAATCTTTATAGGTGATTTAATATATAAAATGTCTTTTTTTACTTATAGATCTCAAATCGAACATTTTCTATTGTAATATGTTAATTAAATATCGAAGTGGTGTTGTATATTCTACACGACATGTTAGATGTATAAGTAAATTTGGTAAAGTGATTGGCAGACCAATAGTACACATAAGAAACTCATTTACTTTCAAACAAACAACATCTACTTGGCCACCGACTATTCATGTCAATCAATCAAATCAAACGATGAATATAACTAGCAATAAGAATGTTCTTACATTAGCTGATTATCATCCTATTTTTAAGAATTATGATTGTGGTATGTTTAATTTATCCTAAATATTAATCTATTCATTTTTTATTTTATGTTAAAAAATTAAATCTATATATGAAAAACAATTTACATGTGTTTGTCTGACTTTTTTCCTTATGTTCGACGTTTAATAAAGAAAGAATAGGTCAATGTCGTTTGTAAAATCGTTCAATTTTGACATACAAATATCTAAAAATGTTATAATACAGTTTTAATCATATCTCATAAGAATTCTTGAAATTCAAATCTTTTTTCAATTATCAAAGTTTTTTTTGTTGTGTTTTATTTAGGACAATGGAGTCTACATCACGCAAAATTCGTCGGCATTCTTATCCTTCAATTTATTCTATTTTTTTTATTATTAATGATGGGTTTCTTCTTCGGAGCATTTTATGTTCACTATTATCTTTTAAAATATAAATCTTATTCTTTCACAAACGCTCGTTTAGTCGCATTTGAAACAACTTTAGTTAATGGTTGTTCTAATATTACAGATCTACCTTGTTCTCTTCAAATGTATATAAATGTTTATTTTTTTCGAACTAAATTTGCATTAGTTTATCTTTACTCAATTGTCATTATCATGATATATACATGGCATCAAACTATTCGCTTGTTATCGTGTATTTTTGCTTTACTTGTTATAATAGTCATTGTTTTTGGCACTGATCTTGTTCTTTATTTTGATGAAATATTTAATGCTAGCTGTATAGTGTGTATTACACTTTTGTTATCATTTGTTTTTCTAACAGTAGCTATGCCTTATTATATTGAAGATCCATTAGGTTTACTTTGCACATCCCATGTATCGTCAAGTGATCGTTATGAATTTCTTCAAAATGATATTTCAATATCTACACGCTTTTATCGATGGGTAAAGAAAACGAAGAAACAATGGAATATTGAAGAGGAAAAATTAATTATAACTATTGTTGTTTTCATAGTTTCAAGTATTATTGGCTCACTTGTATGGCTTTTATGTTTTACCTTAAACCTTTGAAAAAAAAACGACATTTGTAACTTGTTTACATTTGTAGCATAGAGACATCGTGTAGAAAAAGAAAAGATAAGTCGAAGATATTGTAAATGAAATTGTGTATATTAGTTTATGCTGCAACGTTCTATATATTTTTTAATTTAAATAAATATATTTAAAAATTAAAGTCTATTTATTAGTGACAGTTTGAAGATGGATGCGTTTCAATAGAACAATAGGGTATAGATTTGCGAAAAGACAAGCATCTTACTCACATTCGCAGCCTAAAATCATATCCACATCTATACTCTACCTGTACAGGGTGCGTAAAAA